TTTAGGTAAAGAGGAATGGTGATAAAAGATATTTGAACCCGGAAACAAAGATTCGTGCCAAAAATAGTGTTTTCTTTTAATGTTAGTGTGTACTTTCTTCATAGCACAATAATGACATGGAACAAATCCGGAAAAAATATTTTTACGCTAATCTAGATTTTAGAAGGAGAAGTGTCATAGGTCGCCCACGCGTCCTGTACTCCGTGCTATGTAAATTAATATTATGCTTAAAATAACAACACGCGGAGAAAATTTAACACAAATCCGACATCGCCAAGCGCCCGATGGCGACTGATGGAGCAGCGGGCGGTGCGGCGTGTCGTTAAACCGCTCTGGACAATTTGAAAATCTTTGGATAAACGTGAATTTAATACTTCAGTTGGAAACCAACATTTAGCTGGTTTTCTGTGTCTTACTTAAAGAGAAATATCCCCATATCAATATTATGTACACAGTAAATATTTTAGTTTTAAATAATTCGTGTTAGCCTTTCATTTTCGCCCGTTTTCAAGATTTTATATGACCGGATAAAGTACATCCTATCGCGTAACACATCAGCCATCATCATCCTTAGACAATGTCGTTAGATGTTGCGTATGTATATATTTCGTAAGACCATTATTTCGTAGTAAATACCTAAACTATTTGATCTAGCAAAACTGTTTATCCCGCTTTTTCTCCAGTGACTCACCTTAAAATATGCATACTAATAAATATACATTACCATAATTATTATTGTTCATAAGCGGCTTTTCTTTCTTAGTTATCATTTTACTATATGTTTGCGAAATCGATGTAATTAATGCCCTAGTATCTTGAATGTCCTCGAATTGAAACTTTACGATAAAGCGTATCTTTATATATGTACACTGAGAATATATAGTCCGACTCTTGAAAGGCAAAATGAAATAAGCGACACTTTCGGTCATATTGCGTCGTATATACCGTTGGAATCAGCTAATGTTTAGGATTACAACGGTATATATAACTCAAAATGACCCAAAAGTGTCGCTTATCCCATTTTGCCTTTCAAGCATCGAATTACGTTGTGTGTTTTTATAATCTGATCAGATACGGAATGATAAGACGCTATCGTTTTTGTTGGTAAAGACCGAGAATACTCTCGATTAAATGTACTCGTAACATCGCATGTTCGGATTATGATGTCACAGTCGTGTTCAAAATCCATGGAATATTTGTATGAGTAGATTTGTTTGGCGAAGAACAATAAACATTTTTAAAACTGTTTATCATTGTCAATCAAGCTCTGGTCATAGACCTCTCCTATTTCTCGCCACCGTGTCTAACTGTTAGCTTCCGGCATCTATTGCTTCCCAGCTATCTTCCAGCTTCCGATCAGCGCAATAAATTGTTTATAACTCTGTGTAAAGTTTCAAGGAAAAGGAGAAAAGAAAGCGAGAGGGAATAAAGAAGAACTTAATAGTTTTTGTATTAAACTTTACTTAGGTTACTTTTATTTTATTTTTAGTTTATTTCTCTTCTGTTTTTGTTTGTTTTTACTTAAAATATGTCTCCCAATAAAGCAGGAATTTTCCTAATCTTACCTACGCATAATTAAGTGAGGTTTATTATATACACTTCAATAAAGTTGTAAACAACTTACACATAGTTTATGAACTAGAATATTATGACAAGTACTTTATGACCAGATTTATTGTGTAGTCAATGGTATGACTTCCTAGTCACGTTGGACATTGATAATAACATGTTAACACCTTATGTGCAATAGTTTATATAGTAATAAATTAATCTAACTAGAACAGTCATTATGTAAACTGCACATGACAGTATTCAGTATGCTGACAATGCTGACATTGTTTATGTTATAATTCTTTCGGCATCCGGTATAGATACACTCCTCGAACATCGTAAATTTTGTTTTTTTCATTACATAGGTAGTTAGTGAAGTTTAAAACACGCACTGTGGCAGGACAAATAGGTCAAGTTAAAACAGCATCATAAGGAGCATTACAAAATCTCTATATAAAACACTAAAATAGTTCCAAAAATAGTTATTTATAATGCTAATTGGCGCGTAGAACAAGTCGTGCTCCTGGTGGTTAGCGACACGTCTATCCATAACAGTTGCTGTGCCACTCAAAGCTTTAAATCTGCACTGCCTTTGCACCCGTCACCCTGAGACATAAGTTGACAAGTCCCACGTTCCTGTAATTTCACCAGTACCCCTAAAAACCGTAACACAGTAATGCTGACATTACAGCTTGGCGGCAGAAATAGGTAAGGTGGCAGTACTTCCCTGGACGAACTCTTTCACGAGGTGTTCTGCTACTAAAAGTAATAAGTAACCTTATTGGTAACTTAACCATAGTAATCATAATTTAATTATGCCCGTTAAATTGACCATAATAATATATCTCAAGAAAATTCTCGTCTCACTTCCATCCTCCTCCGCAAAACGTGAACTCAAACAAAAAACGACCAACACACAATTAACAAGTCGCAAACGACATCAACCCACCAGTCATTGATAAAACTGCGACCGCTGGATCGTTTGTGCCAATTACTGGCACGCATCCCGTTGGACACTCCAGCATTGTGTAACCGAACACTTGAAAGCACGTGAAACAATTGCCGACAATAATATTCATAAACGTTACCACGTATAATGGGAATGAGGCCAGGAATTTACAGGGTGTATGATTTTGTGTCATTGATAATAAGATTGACGAATGCATAAAAGTAAAAAAACTGTAAAACCCTCCGAGGTACTTTAAAAAATTTATATTGAAACTGTTGATTGAATTAAACAGAAGACACAATTTTTAATTCATATACATAAAATGATGTAAGAGGAACATTACAAAGATAAGTAACTATAAATGAATCCAATTGAAGAAAATACTCTCTATCAGTCCATTATCTGGATTAACTCATTCAGTCTGACAATTTGTAGCAAATGTTTCTATGATGATAATAACTAATGACAAACAATTTTAATACGAATAATTACAAAAATGAGACACTAAAATAATGGTTCGTAATAACGAATTACTCATCAACCAGATAAACATATAATGTAAGTGAATAAAAACACATTTTTGAGTTATTAATTATGTAGGTACTATTGTATACAGAAATCCAACAACAAGTAGCAGTAAAACTCCTAAAAGAGTTTGTCCAGGGAAGTACCTTACTTACTTCTACCATCAAGCACTAATGTGAGCATTTCTGCATTCCAGTTTGGAAGGTTAAGGGTACTGGTGAAATTACAGGCACATGGGACTTGTCAAATTATGTCTCAGGGTGATGGGCGCAGTGTGAGTGCCCCTCAGATCCTTGCGATTTAAGGCTCTGAGTGGCACTGGAACTATTAAGGACAGGCATGGTGCTCAACGTCACTTGTTCGTCCCGTTCAAAAGTTCAAACACTAGTTTTATTTTGCACACAAAAACATATTATTTAAATTTAACTATTTTTTAAATCTTGTTTTTAATAAGGCCTGTAACACTTAGGTGTCATCAAAACTGACACTGGCCCAAGTTTAGCGAGTGCCATTAAGGAAATAGAGTGTCAATGTGGGCCTTGTAATGTCAATTATTTATTATATTATTACATTAATAATATGTAAACTCAATTATTTATTTTTTATTTATTATGGATTACACTACTCTATCATCTGTCACTTCACAGTCACCTATTATGATTACGGAGTTTTTGCCCTCTTAGCCAATGAGTTACCCAGTGCAACATTTAACTTCGCAGCCTATATCCCCTAATAGAAAATGACTCTTATGTTATAGCCACATAATACTTTAAAACTTAAGTAAAATTTTAATTATCACTAATACAGGAATTTGGATGCAGGTATACTCGGTTTTGACACCAAATTGTATAGTGGTGATCACAATAGACCAATTGTTGTTCAAAGTCATGCAGAGTTAAACTAAGCCACTCTAATACTGTACAAAAACTTTTCTATATTGTCTTGGGTCTGGTAGTTTATGGTACTGTCATTGTTTCCAATTCCCATAACTCAAGTGCTTTAGTTAATTACTTACTTTGGGATCGGAGCAACATATGTGATGTTGTGTAATCAGGGAGACTTACAACAGAACTCTGTTATATTTTAATTATGGATTACGTTCCAAGAGCCTACACATACTTCAGTGCAAATTGGACTGATGTCAATATTCTGATAGATGTGACACTGATAACTATTAACCAAGTCTTAAGTGATGCCCATCTTAATATTAACTCATAGACTGTGTAGTCAATGAAAAAGCTGCAACTCTAGACACTTATGTAGAGTTGCAGCTTTCTTAAACACAATCTGAGACAGAAATAATGCTTGGATATTAAATAGGAACAAACAATAACAGAAATACATCCCACTTTCTGGACACAAGACGAATCTTGCACAGTCATTCTTCTAAATAGTTGGAAGAACTGAATTTTTAATTTTGCTGTATTTTTTATGGGCTTTGTTCATCCCACTGTATTTGTAAAATAATCAAAAAAAATTTGAACACGAATTATTGCAGTTATTCCAACAACATTATTTAATTATTACTTACTAGTATTATTGCTTATTGTCTTGTTATTATTGTAATCATAAAGAAATTTAACATTAAAGTGTACAAAGGATTATTTCAGTGGCCTGAGTTTACAAAATTTGGAAGTCTAAATATGCCTGTACTATTTGTTTCAAATAAATTACTGTAAACACATTGTTCAAAAAAGAATTAAAAGAAACATTCAATTATGGAATGGAATTTGAAATGTAAGTATATAGAGGTTAGCTATATTTTTGTTAATTTTCAATTTGTGCTGTAAATGCAAAAACAATGAAATATCTTTTGTATATTATGTATCTTAATGTTACTGCCACTTTTGTGGCTTGTTAAACCTAAAGAGTAAAGCTTCTATCTGCAAAATAACCTCAAAATCTGCACAAATGGTGTAGCGGCCAAAACCTTTGCAGTATCATGTTAAAAATAGCAATGAAATCCAATGCTTACCCTAGAAAATGTTCTCAGTCGGTTGTTTATACGAGGATTCGAAGGGACGTTATTCAAAGACACTTTGGACATTTTCACTTGATTTAAGTGTTTTCACGGTAAAATTAACTATTTCAATTGCCTGACAGCTTAAAGTTCACCTTTAAAAACTAATGTACAGCAAATTAACAGGCAAAACACCTGAAGATCATAAACTGCTCGTAACAAAACAGTCTAATTCTGACAGCAATTGCACAACCCCATGTTTGCTAATGTTACCAGACAAATTTATATTCAACATAGCACACAGGCTGTAACCAACACTTAGATTATTAATCGGTCTTAATTAAATAGAAAATTTATGTTTAATCTAAATAGAAGCCGTTGACAGCTGGTTCTACGCGTACAACACGTTTCGTTTCACGGTCAGCTCAGATCAGCAAGCACGAAAACCGTTCTATGCGCGGGCAGAACAACAACTGAACGCACGAAGCGAAGTGTACACGGCGCGAAAATTGAGTATACAAAACAAGTTCGTTACTATATAACAAAAAGAAATAGTATATAGTTGTGTGCCGTTATCGACGACGAGGGCCTATGTATACTACTACGAGTACTTTAGAAGGGACATTGGCGCGTTGGATTAATAATCCAATGCGCCAATAACCCGCGGCCCAGCGTTGGTTAAGGGTAAGTCTATGCGGGTTATGCAGGGTTTATACTCAATGCGGGGTGTCGACTTCGTAATTCGTAAATTTTCTTCGACGTGCACTGGTTTCATCACAATATTCTTTTTCACCGTTAGCGAGAGGTATTTCTACTAAATTCACATGGGGCCATCAATACGAAAACTTTTGCTATGAGGAATCTCTTAAAACACGAAAAACAATTCAAATGTGACGTGCGAAATGTTCACGTCTCGTCGACAAAATTGTACGGTGTAATATAATTGTAAGTCAATGGGTGTAATTGATTCTTTTCGCTGTCTGGTTACTTATGAAACATAATATAGCCACATAGCAAAAATTCTTCGTAATGATAATTACAATCACCTTTTGAAATATAGTCGCCTTGCATAATTTCATACATTTCTCTGTTGATATTAGGTCCTTTATTGTGGATTGACTTTTAAGTAAATTCAAATTTCCTAGTTTTTCGCAGAGAAGATTCCTGGAAAAATGCGAAAAAACTATTTCAGGCTACTACTATACTAATACTTAGGTATATATTTTTTGTATATTAACAAGTGATGGGACGAAAAAGTCGTGCGCCAAGTGGTAAGCGAAGTCGCGTCTATTCATTTGCAGTTGCAGTACCACTCTTTATATTGCAAAGATCTGAAGGGTACAGCCATTACACCCGTCACCCTGATTGTCGTATTCCAGAACTCTACTCAATACTCAAGTCAGGATTTGAGCAGACTTGAGTACGATATCAAGCACTGGAAATACGACCCTAATGGCAAGGACTTGAGTATGATTTTCAGTGCTCACTGCAATACTCAAGTACTGACTTGAGTATTGAGTTGAGTTCTGGAAAACGACCCCTAGAGTCGTATTCCAGAACTCTACTCTATACTCAAAAAACATAAATTAACAAGTCCCATGTGCCTGTAAGTTCAACAGCACCCTTAACCCTTCAAAACCGGAATGCAGTAATGATCACATTAATGCTTAGCGGCATAAGGTGATAAGGTGGCAGTACTACCCTGGGCAAACTCTTTAACAAGGAGCTCTACTGCAATTAAAATATGAAGTAACTGTGTAAAAAAAAGTAAATATAAAGTAACTAAAATCAAAAATACAATTTGTAAGTGTTGGGCTTGTGATTTGTCTGTTTTGTCTGTCGGGCACGGCGAGAAGCCACTGAACAAATCATATTGAAACTTATTTGTTTTATAATTTATATTTCCTCATAAAATTACGTAATTCCCGCAAAATTAATATACCTACTAAAATGAGTACATACATTAACCAATATCCAATATGACTAAATAATGTAACTGTACTGTAAATAAATACTAGTTGATAAATGAACTGGCGACCTGAAAGCGACGCGACAGCGCGGTGTACCCGCCGCGAG